TGGTATTAGGGGTAACCCTCACGACCTGACGCCTCCCATTGGGACAGTTGACGGTCACAGACATGTCTGTGGATGAGTTGAATGGACGCACTTGTGGTGACACTCTTAGCAAAGACCAAATGTGGTGATCATGTGTGCGGACCACTCAAACACAACACACTGTCATATCATATGCAAAGTCTATTCAATTATGTAATGCAATATTCAATACACTATTCATACACACAGTTACTAAACAAACACATCTACTATTTGTGGCCCCTTTTGCTATAGCTTTACAAATTGTAATATTTGTAATACAAATACGGTATGAAAAGTAGATTACAGTACAGTGTGATAAGGCAGGCATACATTGGTTGACCATTGAGTGCATGCAATGCATTGCAAATTGTAATGCATTTTGGATTCACTAGAGAAATGGGAGGAGTATTGCAGTGAATGAGTGCTCCGATTGGTTGTGAACAGCGTTTGAAAGCAAACCAAAGGCTGAACTGAAGGTCATTTGGATTGCATTTGAATTGCATTTGAATTGCATTTTCATAGACTTCTCATTGATTGCAGTATCACTTGATTGCAGACATCATACTATCCATTGAACCGATGGCTGATTCTAGTGGTGACGGAAGTGCTGGAGACACAGCCATCCATAAGGTATGCAAGCATTGCACACATGTCTGTCTGTATGTCTCAATCATATGATCCGTGGTATAGAATGGTCTGAAGGAGTGTTTGCGGGATTGGCGACAACTGGTGCTGCGCTTGCATTCAGTGCTCGTGTGGGAGGTGTCCGACGCCTGTCCTCTCGTCTTGTGGACAGTCGTGTCACTCGTATTCTTGTATGTCTGCAATGTCTGCAATGCTTGTAATCATTGATCACATCTCACATTCATTTACGCAATGGTAGTCTCATCTGGTATTTGGATGTCTCGGTGTTGACCACACTGTCAGTGCTGGGAATCATTGGATCAGTGCTTGATTACGGACTTCCGATACTCAACCATAACTTCTTTAATCCGTCCAAATGGTATGAGTAGTGAATGCAATGCAGATAACGAAGACTTATCGCTAATGACAGTGATGTGTGACATTAGGAGCGCATCGGATGAGACAAAGTTGGAGAAGATTTGCGGCGAATTGTGCGACAATTGGAAAGTGATTACCACTTCTTATAGCCAATGGCAGCGAATGAAGACCTCAAACCCGAAGCTTTATTACGCGGTGGTGTTGTCCTCCCTGTTAGGGCTGAGTTGGATCGGAAACGTTGTCCACAACCTTCTGCTCACATATCTGTTGGTCTTATTCGTGGTTCTGTTTCCGGGACTCAAACAAAGAGGATTTGTGGACAAGTATTCGGCGCTTCTCGCGAGTTATGTCTGCAAACTCAAGAGAAATTGAATGTGTTTTAGCTTTTGTTTTACCATTACTTGGCATTCATTTAAGATCTGAGAAATGAAAATATTGTCCAAATTGTCAATATAATTGAAGTTATTGTTTATAAACAGGTATTCATTTGCTTAAGTCCTTTGAATTCATCCAATTTAGTAGTAATACAATTAATAATTTGATTTTAAATGTAATTCTTGTCTAGTTTTCACTACTTATTTATTCTCTATATTTATTGATAACATTATTAAACCCTTTAAATGCATGCCTTATGTATTGGAATGTTTTATATGTCATTCAATTGAAATGTATCTATAAATTAAAAAATCGATTTAAATACACAATACACTACACTCTACCAAATCATTTCAATTTTATTAATTGACTCAAAATATTTATACACAAAGAGAGAGAGAGAGAGAGAGAGAGAGAAAGAGAGAGATTTGTTGACTCGATGATTGGTTTGAGACTAGAATTAGAAGATGTGATCAAATGCCAAACACAACGAGACATACACTCAACACTCGCTATTATAAAACTATTTCTTAAACACATTAATTAGTGTTTCGGCACTGATTTCAATGTTTCCGATTCTCCTGAGCCGTCGTTTACCCTCTGCCTGTCGTTTCAATAGTTTCTGTCTGCGGGTGTCGTCCCCT